GTCGGATACGAAAAGAAATAGGAGTATATTAGAATTAGAAAAGATGCATGAAAGCACGTGGAATTATCCTACTGGCTAAAACATGTTGGAGTCCTCTCTTATTGGTCGCTTTTCGCATGACCACGTCGCGGCAGCGAAGTCAGTCGTTGGTTCAATATTCAAACGTTCCGCGGTTCAATATTCTTTAAGCTTTTGCAGTAACATAAAATCAAATCCAATTGAATATAAATTTCCAATCAGCTAAATTCTTCTGATATTCCAGATTGTTCTGGTACATCCAGTTTCTGAACCCTAGATTTCAAGTGATCGAATTATCCATCTCAATTGTTGTAAGAAACATTTTTATTTCCTTTGATCTGTGTGCCAAACGAGATAATGGCGCATGGAAGATCAAAGTTGATCCTCTTGTTGTGTTGTTTATCATACACTTTATCAATTGCCATTGCAGCGTGAGTATTTAATACTACTAGTACCTCTATCTGTGTTTATGTTTTTGTGTAAAAATGTAATTTTCCTACTATTCCTAATGGAGTGTGTTTAATTCTTTTCAGGAAAAGTTATTATGATATATTGCAAGTTCCAAAAGGTGCTTCAGATGAACAGATTAAACGCGCTTATCGGAAGCTTGCGTTAAAGTATCATCCTGATAAAAACCAGGGAAATGAGGAGGCTAATAAGAAATTTGCTGAAATCAATAACGGTACGTTGCTTTTCTTTTGTTAATTATTGGACTCGTTAGGTGGTTTTTGGATATTAGTTTTGTTCAATTACCCCAGACCCCACTTGTGGTATTTCACTGGGTTTGTTGTTGTTGTAGTTTTGCTTAATTACTCATATTGGGATATTTTTCAGCTTACGAAGTGCTATCAGACAGTGAAAAGAGGAATATATACGACAGGTATGGGGGAGAGGGTCTTAAGCAACACGCTGCTAGCGGAGGAGGCAGAGGTGCAGGAATGAACATTCAAGACATATTTAGCCAGTATGTTGAATTCCTAAAGTTCCACTTCATCCTCAAATTTTATTTTGCGCAGTTGATATTCATTTTGCTCATTTAAGAATCATATCCGTTCAACGGTTGCATATTCTTGCTGGAATGTAATGGACCCGAAAAGAGAGACCCCTTCAGCTATATCTGATTGATTGATTGGATGGCTGTGATCTTTCTGTCATAATTGTGTAATGCCACAGGATAGAACATAAAATTAGGTATCAAGTCGCACCTTCTAACTTAAAAAATGGCTTTAAAACACTGATCTTGAGCTAGTTGTGGTAAAGGTCTATCAAGTAGGCACATGGCCCGTTTATATAATTCTTTTTACAAGCATAAGCTTAAGCTATATTAGCGGTTGTAGTTTCAGTTTACTCATATACACAATCATAGTTGGTTCTCATCATCTGGTCACCTTATTTAATTACATTGTGCTGCAAGGCTGCTATATGAATTTATCTTCCTTACATTTAGCTATCTAAAGAATTTGTCCATTGTTTGTGGATTTTTGATATCTAGTGACTGACCATTTTTCCTGCAATATGGTAAGAGTGGTTTGTTTGTTTGTCTTTAATATTTGTATGGTAGTCTAACTGATGTTTAGATGCACTTGGATTTCTTATATGTTAGAAGAATAGGTCCCATGTCTAATCTTTCGAATCACTATTGTTGGTATTCTGGTTCTTACTTATAGTGAAAATTATATGGCTCATTATCATGGCTTTTTTCTCTTGAATGCTTACAAGCTACTCTCTAAGGTACATTCTAACTCTAAAATGATTTCAACATGAAATATTTTGATAGACTCAGTAACCAGCACTTTCACCAATTATGATGGTAAGAAGCTCCATAGACTGAAAGTACATTGTGCTGGTGCTAAGTAAAAATTCCTACCAAGATACTCTTTCTATGTTAAATATTTCTTAGTTGCATTGTTTGTGGTACTAAGCTATGCTCTATTCATGTATGTCAGACATGTTTCTGTTAATCTTTGCTAAGTTAATTGCAAACATTGGTTTCCCATGTACGTTTTAAGAGATAACTCTTATGCTCATCTATTTCTACTAGGTGATGACGCCCTCTCTGCCTTATCTTTTCAGCCGGTCGGAAAAGTTAGTAGTTGGTTCTGTTGCTTGCTTGTTAGAGAAGTACACCCTACACACACTTACTAGTGCCATGATTTTGGATTCTTCTTTTAAAGAAATAATTCTCCTTAGTTTCTCTGGTTTCTCCTGAAGTTGTTGGTTCGTTATCTTATGATGATTAAAGGTTTCGCATGTGCTATCTTTCTTGCTGACAAAATGAATAATCTCTGAAGGTTTTTTGGTGGGGGCTCAATGGAGGAGGAGGAAGAGAAGGTTGCGAAAGGCGATGATGTAATCGTTGATTTGGATGCAACATTGGAAGACTTATACAATGGAGGCTCCTTGAAGGTGAATTCCTGTGAACTAATCTGCACATCTGTTGCTAAATACTCCTTGTCAAGTTGACATCATCGCCTCTCTACTATGGCGAAGGGTACCACTATCTAGATTGTGGAAATATACATGTGCGGTTTCAGAAAGTTATATGAAGCTATCATATGCTTTCCATGTGTCTTCTTTTTCCATTTCACTTGGCATTGCACTGTAAGAGGATCTGAGCTGTCTCATCCTTTGTTGTGTGTCGAACAACTCATGAGTGACATAAATTAGAGATTTGGGAAGGTAAGTTGAGAATTATCTCCCATTGACATTGGGATACTCTCACGTACTAGTTATGGCTAAGAAGTTATGAGAGGACCAGTCCTTTCAGGCACAGCCATTTGGAGTTGTGATTTCACATAAATAGTACTCCCTCCGTTCACTTTAACTTGGCACGTTTTGACTTTTCACGCCCCTTAAGAAATAATAAATGAAGTGCATAATTTACTATGATACCCATATTAATTGATGCATATTTTGTTGGATTTAGAAATTGATTTGAAATGAGTAATAAATATTGTGGGCATAACAGGAAACTTCTCTTGATATGTAAAGTGACAAGTAAAAATGAAAATCTATTTTTAGTATACATGCCAAGTAAAAGTACGGAGGGAGTATAGGATTATAGTTGTTATTCACTGATATATTTGTCTCGCAGGAAGGCTCTAGTAGCTACATTATGTATTTCTGCAGATTTGCTGTGTTAAATGCTAACGCCATCGATGGAGCTTTCAGTGACCAAAAAATGTCTCTAAGCCAGTGTTGTGAAGAGCGTGAAGCGAGGAAAAGCGACAACCCCCATTTCACGAGAAGCGAGAAGCGAAGCGCTCGCTTTTTTTAAGTGAGGCGGAATTAAAAAAATTAAAATAAATACTGCACAACACATTATTGTAAGCAAATGATCAATACTTCAATTAAAAAACTAAAGAGTAGCATCAATTGAAGCACAAAATGAGCATCATATTCTTCTATAAGAACTAAGAATAAAAGATATAATAATTGCGCAGAAATTTAGGGCAGAAACTGGAAAAACTGGGCAGAATTTTTCTGAAAAAAATTCGCCAACATTTCGGCGCTTTTTGGATGTTTAGAAAGAAAAAAAAGAAGAAGAAGAAGAAGAAGAAGAAGAAGAAGAAGAAGAAGAAGAAGAAGAATGAAGATCAGAAGTCCAGAACATACCTGTTGAAAGTTGTTGTTGTACTCTTGAAGAAGAAGAAGAACAACCCTAGTTTGAAGAAGAGAAATCACTGCTGTTGTTTGAAGTTAATGAAGAAGAGAGGAAGAAATTGTTGCTGTTGTTTGAAGAACCCTAGTTTCTCGCTGCTATTGAAGTCTCGAAGAAGTCGAACAAGTCCAGACTGATTAGAACCAAGTTTTTAACAAAAATAGGGCTTTGGATAATTTTTAAACAGAGAAGAGTCCGCTTCTCTCGCTTCTTCTCGCTTTTTACATAGAAGCGGTCGCTTTTTCTACCAGAGTCGTTTTTAATGGCAGAAGCGAAGAACTGTGCGCTCCGCTTCGCTTCTCGCTTAAAGCAAGGAAGCGCTCGCTTTTTTAATCATTGCTCTAAGCTAGGGGTGGAGCTAGGTAGACGCGGGGGTGGGGGGTGGGGGGGGTTCAATTGAATCCCTATTGTCAAAAAATTATACTGTGTAAATAGAGGAGTAACTATTTATTTTGCTTATACATAAAAGATTGAATCCCCTTAACATAAGGGAAGATTCTACTGTAGTGGCAAAGAGGGTTCAAAATTAGTTTTAGGTCATAATATTATATCCTAGAGTGTCACATTCTTGCATTTCTTGAATCAGCTTGTTTAAATTCCTGGCTACGCCACTGTCTAAGCCTAGAATTTCTTTTCTGGTGATATCAACTGTCATAATTCTTCTACCGTGTTGTACTTATCAAGAAATTTTTCCTCTGTGTTTGGTGAAAACACAGGTTTGGAGGGAGAAAAACATTTTAAAGCCGGCACCAGGTAAGAGGCGGTGCAACTGCCGAAATGAGGTATATCATCGACAAATCGGTCCAGGAATGTTTCAGCAGATGACTGAGCAGGTATTTCTTCGGTCCACAGTTCTAGATGTCAATTTCAAGCTTTTTGGTGCAGCATCTAGATTATCTTAAACTCTGCAACTATGCTGTTCAGGTCTGTGACCAGTGCCCCAACGTGAAGTTTGAAAGGGAGGGCTATCACATTACTGTGGACATTGAGAAAGGAACGCGAGATGGTCAGGTGAGCTTTCTTCTACATTTTTGACTTGCATGCTTGATACTGTTTGTTAAGCTACTTACATTCTTTATTTGTTTGCAATGATCCCTTTCTGATGTAGATACTGAACATAAGCCTGTGTTTATGCATTTTGATATACTTTCTTCCTTGTACCCTTTTCACTTGCTAGTACTCTCAGGAGCTTCATTTGGCTAGCAGAATAATTCGCTTTAAATGTCCTTCTGGCACCTTAGATCAGTCTACCTAAACTGTTAAAGCCATTTACTTTTTTACTCTATAGTAAATAATAGCCTTTACTAGATGCTGATTTGAGGTGCACCTAAGTTCATCCAAGAACAGTCTGATGGTGGTTCATTTGAAAGCTCCACTAGGCTAGTCATGTGGTGCACTTTGATATGAATGTGATTTACAGTTTAGCATTTACAATTTATATCTTGTCTATGACATATTATCTTTCACCGTAAAGAAGCTTAATTCGTTGTTAGTTCCTTTCTTAATTTTCTGGAATACAAGGAAATAGGGGTGTTCATGGTTCGGTTTGGATCGGTTTTTCCTTTAAAAGAAACCAAACCAAGTAAGTCGGTTTTTCAAATATTAGAACCAAACCAAACCAATTAAGTTGGTTTTTTCTCCATTCGGTTTATGTTTTGTCGGTTTTTTCGGTTATTTGTCGCTTTTTTCTTAAATATAAGACATACACTACCAAACATATATTCCGGCGATCACATTTTCAACGTAACACTATCAAATCAATTGCCCTTTGAGAAATCTATTATTGACCAAGATATATTGATGATAACTGAATCAAATAGTGAAGAATAATTTAAGGACTCAATTAAATATATATTATTTTTAACACGAAATGGATTCTTACACTTAACAAAAGAAAACTACCAATCAAACTAGAATGTAAAGGTAAAGAACTATACCAAAAGTGCAAACTATTAACATTTACCATTAAATTTTTGAAATTTTGTATAAAAATATACAGATATATAGGTGTAATAATAAATTTGAAATAGCTACTCCTATAGTCGGTTTGGTTCGGCTTTTTTCGGGTTTTTTCTGATTAAAACCAAAACCAAACCAAATTTGATCGGTTTTTAAAATTCAAAACCAAAACCAAACCAAACCAAAAAGTATCGTTTTTTTGGTCGGTTTGGTTTGGTTTTCGGTTTGGTTCGATTTTTCGGGTTTTTATGAACACCCCTACAAGGAAACATTTCAGAATTTCTTTGGACCTGTCGAACTTTTCTTGTTTAAAATTGTGAGCTAGTCATATCATGAGTAATCTTCTAACTCATTTCTCCTATTTAAGTGGGCTAAATATTTGCTTGAAAATTAGATCATAATGTTGAGGGGCATTCATTTTCTTTTTGTCTAGAAATGGTTTCTCTTCATGTCGTGTCTTGCTAGATTTGATGCCGAAATGGTAGGAAACTCTTCTTGAGCCGAGGGTCTTTCGGAAACAGCCTCTCTACTCCTTCGGGGTAGGGGTAAGGTCTGCGTATACACTATCCTCCCCAGACCCCACTAGTGGGATTTCACTGGGTCGTTGTTGTTGTTATTGTTTGAATATGTTGGAGCCCTTAAATAATAGAACATTCTTTTTACAGGAAGTGGTCTTTTATGAGGATGGTGAGCCTAAGATAGATGGTGAACCTGGAGACCTGAAGGTCAGACATTTATTCCATGCTGAACAATTGACTTATTTCATTATGATGTACGCCTTGACTCTGACTTATATTGGTTCCTTTTCTTACTTTGGAACAGTTCCGCATCCGTGCGGCTCCTCATGACCAGTTTAAAAGAGAAGGAAACGACCTTCGCACCACTGTTACTATAACTCTGGTAACCTAGACATACTTAGTTTTACTTACCATAGTGCTTTGCAATTTGCCCTTTTATTCACTTGGCGTAGAATTAAACATTTTAATTTACCAAAAGCTGAAGGTTGTTAAAGAAGATTTAAAGTAACAGATTGATGCTATGCTGTTTGAGAGATTGAAATCCAGGAAACATGAATATAAATTCAACTAAACTGACACCTGATACAGTGCTAGTAGAGATGGCAGTGCAAGCTCTTTGTTGGTATAATGGTGTTGTTAAGTGATTCTTTTACTTCGATTCAGGTGCAAGCTCTGGTTGGTTTTGAGAAGACCATTAAACATCTCGATGATCATCTGGTGGATATTAGTTCAAAGGTATATTTTGTCCATACATGTCTGACAGACTAACCAACCATACTTATCTGTTTGGCTATATGACTGTGTACTGAAATGATTATTGATATACATACCCTAGGGAATCACTAAACCAAAGGAAGTGAGAAAGTTTAAAGACGAAGGGATGCCACTGCATTTTAGTAACAAGAAGGGTGATTTATATGTTAAATTTGAGGTTCTTTTCCCCACATCATTGACGGAGGACCAGAAGAAACAGATCAAGGAAATTCTTGGTTAAGATACCCCATAATAGACTATTTCTTTGGTCTCCAGTGATGAAAATCCGTGCATCTGTTTGAAGCTGCACCGTGCGTCTGACTTGCTATAACCTTCCAAGCTTTTGTGATCTTAACTTTCAGGCCCTTCTATCGAATTCATTTTTCCTTCATCTTTTTTAGGGTGGAGGTGCTCATTTGAGGTATAGAGTAGAGGCCATTATATGTGTATCGAACAATGATTGTAGAGTAGATGGAAATATGTATAGGTGCTGCATCATTTTGGAGTCCTCTATTTTGTAAGGACAGAGGATTTTAATCCCGGATGGTTTATGCAAATGACAAATGTAACGTCGTGTTATTCTTCTCTTCACTCCCACATAATGCTGACTCAGGTTGATATTGCTAATATGCTGGGTTTACTCAAAATGTTAATTTTCAGGCCTCCAAAATATAGATTTGAGTCTTGGGTAACAAAACCCACCAAGCCCATCTGAGGAGTCCCTTTGTGGACTTGGATTGCTTCACTTGTGCAGGCTAACGTAAAGGAAATTACCAGCTATGTCCATTTATAAGTAGCTCATTATAAAAATTGGTCAATTGATAAAATATTATTAATATTAGCCAAATTAACCAATTAGCTATTTATAGCAAAAAATTATCAAATTTTTGCTTTATTTTGAGTGGGTGTTATTAGAATAGATTGGGCACAACTTAAGGAGCTTGAATCTCAGTTTGGGATGATTTGGTGAAGTTTAGAGGTGGTTTGAATTGAAAATTCGAAGTAAAAGCTGAACATGAAAAAAATGATATGTGTATCATTTGTGTATCACATATGTATCATATTTGTATCAATTGTGTATCATATGTATATTCAGGTATACCTGTGTGTGTGATACATGCGTGATACATGTTTGATACATGTGTCGCAGAAGACTTTTTTAAACTCGATTTAGTTACGAATTTTGATACAAAACCAGTCCAAATCACCTCCAATCTTCCTCAAATTTTGTGTATTGACTTATCTATATATTTTCAATGAATTTCAACTATACCCATTGAAAAAGTTTCTTTTTTGTTTAGATTTTTGGAATATTGTATAGATTTTTGTATTTCATCACCTTATTTGCTACCCCGTCCATGAAATTTCCTTTTCGTCTTGTATCTAATGTTGCTAATCACGCTTAAAAATATGGAAGGTGATTTTTGCATGTGATTCTTTGAGAGAAAGAACCCTATTATTTGGTTTTCAATTTTTGTTGGCTAGTTTTGGTAAGTCTATGACTAATGGCTAGAGGTTGGTAAGTTGAGATTTATTTGGGATATTTATGTAAGTTTCCCTAAAAACTTACTTGTGCTTGGTGTTTGCGCAAAATTTATAAATATAAGACATGTATTATATATATATATACTCTAATATTTAATTATTAAGATAAAACTGATTGATTTGACGTAAATATTGAGTGCGGTCAAGTGTGGTAGGTTTGATGAATGCTTCGACCGCTTGGATCCTTGTATTTGTTTCGAGGTTCCATAGTAGCTAAACCTGTCATATCAAGCCTCCCAATACACATGTTACCCGTAATTTAGGATTTTGGGCCTCTCGGCCATGTAACACGATGAACGAAAGCAACACTGCAAATTCGATCTTTGAGAAAAACAATTCTAAAACTAGGCGACTTGTTTTTATCTTATAGCTCAGCCACAATAGCGAACTGAGTAATTATTAGTTTGTCACATCTAGGTGTTCCATTTACTCTTAAAATAGGAGCTGAAGTTCTATTACTACTATGTAATAATACTAAAATCATCGATAAAATTGTATTATTGAAAATCTTGAATAATGTTTCATCACAAAAGTGGGTCCAAGCTACATTTTTTATAGGAATAAAAAGAAAGAGCCGGAAAACAGAGAAGTTTTATTGTGTGTCTCGCACAACTTACAATAGTGGTGTGAGACTCCTTTTTGTCTCACAAATTTATGGACCCCAAATCTTACACTTCTGGGTCCACAAAAATCTGGGTCCACAAAACTGTGAGACAAAAAAGATGCCTCATACAACTGATAACACAAAATAAAATTTTCCCGGAAAACATGAGAAATAAATTCTACTTTAGACACGATTTAAACACCAAGTCAAAATGAAAAGTGTAACAATTAATTGACGTTGAAAGCGTATTTATTTTTGAGGCAGGAAAACTATTACAAGTAGACAGTATAGCGGAGGGTTGGAACTTCGAAGCTGACCTAGAAGCTAAACCTGCTTTTGGGTTGGTAGGCTGTGAATGCTAGTAGTTTGATGTCTTCTTATAGTACCTATTAAATTTCTTAAAATCTTTCCTTATGAAGTTTATCCTATCAAGGAAAGCAAAGCAAAAGCATATTTAGACTTTGTAAAATTTTAGTGTTTCTATTTTCACTTTTAAGCTCCGACTCCTTTTTTAGCCGAAATGACTCTAGAAACTTTTTTAATCTCATTTCATTTGAAACCCTATAACATGTGCAATGAAATCCAGCACTTAATAATTTTGATTTAAAATTCTCTGCCACTATATCTGGATAATGTATGGAGTAGCGTGTTGGTCAGTCAAGAGCTCTCATGTTTAGAAGTTGCAATTAGTAGAGATGAGAATGCTGAGATGGAAGTATAAGCATACTAAGAGAGATAAGATTGGGAATAAAGATATTCGGGAAGGTGAAAGTGACTCCGGCTGTGGACAAGAGTGTTAGGTTTCGTGAATGGGTGTGAATGGGAAATGGAAGAGACGCCTATTGAATTGCACCTCTTCATTTCACCCTTTCATAGCCTCTAATTTCATAGACAATGAAAGGGTGAGATGAAGAGGTGCAATTCAAAAAGTGTCTCTTTCATTTCCCATTCACACCCATTCACGAAACCTAACAATCCCCACATGAATGGGGGATAGGAATATGTTTAAAAAATATGCAAAAAACTTGTGTGATTTGCATGTAAGGATTAATCACATATGGATAAGTAGGTTTTCCTTTGAACTTTCCGTAGTGAACATATGTCGGAATACTCGGTCAATCGGTAGATTTGATATCTTTGAACCGTCGAGCTTCCTTAATCGTCTTTGGTTCTTCTTGTTGTGTTTGTTTCAGCCATGAACACCGTCTGATTTCATAAGTGCATAGAGAATTGGCCTTACAGAACTCTACTTGATCGTCGAGCTTTGGTGCATACCTAGACAACCATAAGTCACACAATCAACTCTTAATCGTCTTTGGTTCTTGTTGTTGTATTCATTTCAGCCATGAACACCGCCTGGTTTCATAAGTGCATAGAGAATTGGTCTTACAGAACTCTACTTGAAGCGGCTAACACTTCACACTTACATAGGTGATTCCTAAACGTGTTATCCCGTAGATACACTATTTGACATACCCTGTATCAAACTTAGAAACCATTAAAAAGCCTTAATGCTTTGTCCTTGGTACTAAACATTGTTTCGTCACGAGAAAGGACTTAAAAGAAATTTTATTTGACAATGTTGAACCGTCATTAATGACTTTGTTCAGGCTCCTTGAACCTAGATCTTGGGATCTCCAGTCTTCTAGGTAGAGTTACCACCACAATGACTTCTCCTCGGCCATAGTCTCATTCCCTTAGATGATCTTTCAACTACCTCTCTAGTTAGGACTTTTTTTAAATGGATCCGACACTTTATCGCTTGACTTCACATAGTCAACTATGATAATTCCCCTAGAGAGTAGTTGCCTAACGGTTTTATGTCTTCGTCGTATATGACAAGATTTTTCGTTATACATAATGCTCCTAGCCCTTTCTATTATCGCTTGACCATTGCAATGTATGCATATAGGTGCCAATATTTTGGGTTAAGATGGAATTTCTTCAAGAAATTCCGGAGCCATTCAACTTCTCATCGGCCTTGTCTAAGGTTATAAACTCATCCTCCATTGTAGAGCGACAATACACGTTTGTTTAGACGACTTCCATGACACTGCTCCTCCACTGAGTGTAAAAATATATCCACTTGTGGATTTAGTTTAGGTTGATTCAGTGATCCAATTTGCATCATTATACCCCCCAATAACCGCATGATACTTATTATAGTGCAATGCATAGTCATAGATATGACAGTTCAATGCGAACTTCCTTATGTCGTAGATTAATACGTCTCGACTTTCTATTGCGTATCAGATTATTGACTACATTTAATGTAGCAATAGCATATTATAACAACAGCTGGAATGATTGGCATCAGTTGTGGACACAACCTTTTAATATAACACATTTCGCAATCACTCCGACATTTTCAAGTATTTGTATGATATTTATTCATACGTCTATATGATACGCAAATTATAACACCTTCATTCATGAAATAAATCCAACTTGTAATGGATTTTGGTCATGTTCATCGGTTGGTTCACCTCATTATAGACCAACGTACTAATACATTCATTCATGAGCGGTCATGTTTATACAGAACATACAAAAGCACCATTCGTGAAAAGTCATAACCTTCAAGGTGACACCCTTTCATAAAAGAGCAAAACATTATAAATGTTCAAGAAAGAGCAAATCATTTTTAGAAAGGCATGTAAATAACTTTCGAATTTGTAGTTTTATCACTAAGAATGAACAAGTAATGAATTCACCGACTATCATATCAATATCCACTAAGGATTGGTAGGGTTCAAAAATTATATCATTTAGACATTACGTCTAACATTGGCTTTTGTCATGCATAAGCTAAAAGCCACCACATTTTACATATTTCATCAACAATCATCTACATATAATCAAATAATGACTATATGATTTGAAGTATTCTTAACGTAAACACATTTGCTTAAACTCACTAATTTTTAAAACCATTTGACAATATTATTTGATCAAATCCCGCATTTCATTATTTGGGTGCTTCTTTTGGTCTGTAAAGTGACATAACAAGTCGGCACACCTTTTTTTTCTCTTCGGGAACCACGAATCCTTCAGGTTGTTCCATTTAAATTTCTTCATCTAAATCTTAATTTAAGAAGGTTGTCTTCACATCCATTTCAAGAGCATACAATGTAGGCAATGCTACTAACATCCATATGTCGTAATACTCATAACCGATGAGTATGTGTTAAAATAGTCAAGGCTTTTTATTGTCTATATCCTTTGAAAATAACTCTTGCCTTATACATGTCAATAATGCCATCATCTTTTATTTTCCTCTTGAAAATCCATTTGGAACTCAATGGTTCGTTACCTAGAGTAAGATCAACTAACTCTCAAGTATGGTTATGTAATATGGATTCTATCTGACTATTGACTGCTTCTTACCGAGGAAGACATAACCTCTTTCAAAGTTTGAAGCTCATTTTCCAACAAGAATATC